TTCGGTTCTTCTTTGTCCATTAGTTTAGTCCTTTTTTTTTCTTCTCATCACGGGGTAAAGTAATTTGGTAGCTTGCAAGGCTCATAACTTTGAGGTCGAGAATTCAAATCTCATCTCCGCAACATCTTTTGACAAAAGATGTTAAAGCTTGACTTTGTTAACTACTCATTAATTAACACTTTTCTTTTAAGACACGACGACAAGGCCACTATATTATCATAAACAATTATAACAATTCTTTTAGATTCTTGAATAAAACATTGGGTTAAATCTTGAAACTTCAAATCAAAATCAGTATTTAAAACAAGGGAAATCCAATTAGTATGAATTTGTTTTCAAAAATAAAGGTGAGCATAATAATTTTGGCGTTGATGATGTAAGTGTTTGAGATTGTTTGGAAAAAAAAGTCCTAAAAACAATAAACTACTTTAAATTGAAGTAAATAAAATTTACTGTTGGAGTTTTTCTTTGTAAAGAAAACTTAAATCTCTATTGATTTTATTCACTTTAAAATTAATAATTTAAAATACCTTCAAATAGGTTTATATCAAAATTTAAATTTTTTAAAAATAATTTACCACTATTTAAAAGATAAATATAAATCAAATAATGCTAAAAGATAAACTCCAACTAATAACATAATTTTTAAAAAATAAACATATTTTAAATTTAATTAAAGATAAATCTTATTTGAATTCAAACTAATAAATAAAATAAAATATAATTTCTGTATTAATTTTCAACACTCTCCTTAATGTAGAAATTATAATTATCATATTTATTTTGTTGGAGCACTTCTCTTCAATATTTCTTATTTGATCTTCATATTTTGAAATATTTCTCTTCAGTTGTTGATGCACTTATCACTAATCTCTAATTATTGATACACTTCTTATTAATTTTTAATTATTTGATGTACTTCTTATCAAAATCTTTTAGAGCACTTCTCTCCAAATTTTAAAAAAGAGTTTCTTATTCTTCAACAATATTTATTTGCTAATTCTTAAACCTATAATTTTTTTATATATGCTCAAATTTTTTACAATAAAAATATTATGATTTACTTTTATGCCAACAATCTTTTTATCATGATTGTTTTTCTTACATACTTCGTATGGTGAAATTTTTTTTCTTTTTGATACTAATGAAGGCTTGTTTGACATCATAGCGATGAAAACTCCCTCAATTATTTTTTGATCTCTCATTGCTCTTCTTTGCTCCACAGCTTGCAAAACATTAATTAATTCTGTAATTGTAATTTCTAAGAGATCTTTAGAATCTTCAAGTGATGAAATCTTTAATTCAAACTTTTATGTAAGCTCACAATAATTTTTTCAACAATTCTATTGTTGGAAAACTCTTCACTAAATACTCTAATATTGTTAACAATTGTCATGAATTTGTTAATATATTCCTTGATTCCTTCATCATTTGAATATTAAATTCTCTCTTGAGATTCAAAACTTACATCAACTTGGTTTAATCATTGTCTAAATACTCAGTTTTAAGAAAATTTCATATCTCTTTTGAAGTTTCACAAATTATTATATTAGTGAAAATCACTTTAAAAACTAAAGAGTACAAGCAAGTTTTTGCTTTATACTTCTTGAATTTTTCTTCATTGTGATTCTTTAGTTGAGCTGCAGTTGGATGAGATGATAACGGTGGGAGTTTGCCATCATTTTTAACCATATCCCACAAATCAAATGATTGTATATATATTTGTATTTTCACAACCCATAATTGATAATTTTTTCTATGAAAATGGAAAATGAAACCAAAAGAAAGGTGTTTGAGACCATATTTTATGTATGAAATTCACTTGTTTTCTTTGTTTTTTTTTTCTCACATACCCATAACCAATAAAGCTCTGATACCACTTTTTGATATTTTTCTTGGTGAAGAAAATTTAAATCTCCATTGATTTCACTCACTTTAAAATTAACAGCTTAAAATGTCTATAAATAGATTTATATTAAATTTAAATATTCTAAAAATAATATATCACTATTTAAAAGATAAATATAAATCAAATTTATTAAAAGATAAACTCCAATTAATAACATAATTTTTTTAAAAATAAATTTATTTTAAATTTAACTAAAAATAAATTTTATTCGAATTCAAATTAATAAATAAAATATAATATAATTTTTACATTAATTTTTAACTATGCAATAATTAACATTTTTCTTTTGGAGTAGGAGAACTAGACTGCTATACTATCACATACAACTATAACGAATCTTTTAGAATCTTGAATAAAATGTTGGATTAAAACTTGAAATTTCAAATCAAAATCAGTATTTAAAACAAAGGAAATGGAATTAGCATAAAATTGTTTTAAAAAATAAAGGTGAGCATAACAATCTTGGCGTTGATGTTGTGTTTGAGATTGCTTGAAAAAAGAGTCCTAAAAAAAATAAACTACTTTAAATAATTTGAAGTAAATAAAATTTTTACTTAAACATTAAACAATTACTCTGAGTAAATACCAATTATAAAAAATGAACAGTTATTTTTTATAATAAATTAATAAAAATATATATTACAAATACTTTATGATTTTATAATTTCATGTATATATTATCAATTTTAAGAGAATGTCAAAAAGCAACTAACAAAATTGATTACACAAAAAAAAAAAAAAAAAAAAACTAAAATATAAAGTGCTTGCTTTTGCATTCTTAATTTCTAATTAACCGCATTAAAACTTCCACAAGATGACTTTGAACTTGTGGTGGGAGAAGAGTACTTTTCAATCATTGAGAATGGCTAGAAAGCACATAAGAAGGTTTGAGTTGGCTGTGGAATCTGGTGCACAGAAAGCTGTATTGATCTGCGTATTAAGTTGCAGGCATTCATGGCTGATTATCAACAACCTGGAGCGACTGCATGAAGATAACGATAGCTTAGATTCAATAGCAGCTTTTGCAAAGGATCAATCAAATAACTCGGAATATCACAAGGATCAATCAAATAACTCCGGAGATCTCATAGTTCTTAATTCAAGGGCTCTTTTGCCATGTTTTAGGTTCATATACAAATCATTTAAGAAATATCCTCACAAAAAAGTAAAAAAAATATGTGGGGTTCTTTCACAAATGCATTGCACAATTCTGTCAGTTGAAAATTCCAACATTACCATAAATGTTTGCTGCAGCATTTCATGATGTTTATCCAGTTGCTTATACAATTTATTTTTTTCTCCAAGTCAAAGTTAGACTCAGAAAGTGAAAATTAGAGAAAATAAAAAGAAAAAGGAGAATAAAGAAAAGCAGTAAACCCTGAAGCTCCAAAGGATAGAGCGGTGAACTTTGAATTACAACTACTCCCCAAAAGAACAGAATGAATTAATATGAATTAGACCTTGTCTTCTCCTAATATTACTTGCACCCAGAAGTTCTGAGCTGTTTCATATGAATGATGAGAAGAATGCAAATAACTCTGCAAAATTTTCAATAGATTCACTTGCATCACCCAAATCATAAGTATAATAATCAAGGTTTTTCCACTTATATGTTCACAACCAACCTTCAGGACTGACAACATTGTCACTGTATTTGTGGCACAAACTTCAGTATCAAAGAATGCCTTCTGCCACCTTTTTCTCTTTTAAAAACAAGAGTTCCATATATTTACATGCTTATATATCATAGCCAGCAAAAAGCTCACCTGTGATGCAATTATAGCTGTCAAACATTACAAGCCCAAAAGTCTTGAAGTGAGCTTGTCCCCTTGCAGTGTAATCTTCCAGCTATCAACTTGAAATATGAAGACAGAACCTCTTTTAGGAATAGCTACAAATGACAAAAACAATTTAATATATCAGTCAGTATTATGAATTATAAATTTGCTTTCTATATTCTGAACCTCTTTTACTTTTTAGCAATACTGATATTATCAACATTCAACAA